TCCAGAAAACATTTATGAAGCTGCATGAAAGGGCTATTTGTAACCAACTAGAGCATCCACGTGCATTGCTGTAAGAAATAAACTCCTTTGCTAGGGCTCGTTGATTGCTAATAAGTCACATGCATTCTCTTTTCACTTAATTTCAGTGTAAATTTAGACCTTTCTGATTAATTCGAATTTGAGACCATGATTTCACAAGATGGTAAATACAATTCTGGAGAACTCAGTGCTAGCTCAGAAATAATGTACTGAGGTGACACAAAATTTTCAGCTGGTACAAATTCACTGTGGTGAATCTAATTGGTTCAAAAGAATGTGAAAAGGTCATTTTTGCTTTGCCAGCAAAGGTATAATTTATTCTCCTATGGCCAGCATAAAGCCAGCAACCACTTTTATTTTCTGACTAATTAGATTAAATTGTGATCATTTAGTCATGCACAACTCAGATGAAATATACTGCTGGGTGATCTACAGCCAGAACCAACTAGTTCAGCCCTCGTTTCTCTTTTTTTTCTCACATTTCCTTGCAAGCTGGTGTGTTATAACCTCAGAGAAGGTCATTATAACAATGGCTTCTCCAGATCCTACCTAATTGTAAGTAAAAAATAGGCAAAAAGTTGCCAAAACAAGAAGCAAATTGTAGATAGTTAAGTTCCTTCACCTTTCCTCCCCACTTTCCAAATGTAAGAGTTACAGGTTTTATAAAAAGTAACAGTGGCTTTCAATTCCTATCAAGCAACTTTCTGATGTTCTAAAGTATTTGGGCGAGGTCTTTCATGTGTAATTATTTAAAAGCGAGATCTAGTCTAACCTGGTCATCAGGATTCTCAGAGTCAACAGCTAGAAACGGGTACCTCCATAAGACAATCCAGTCCATAGACAGTTCTTTCAGGATGAGGCAAATCACCCTTTGGTGGTGCCTTTCTTTCATAGGGACTGAATACAATTTGCTTGATTGGACATCTCACTTCTGTCTGACTAAAATTTGGTAAGATGGATCCCAGTCCTTGTGTACCTGAAAGCTGTGGAGATTAGTGGGTGTAAGCAGAACAGAGAGTGTGGACTTCACGGTGTTTCAAGCATCTAGAAGCCCTAGACTGCCTATCTTTCCCCAACATAAGTAGGATAACTGCAGGGTCATAATAAACACTACTGATAGTGTCTTAGCCCTTTCCTCTCCTGTACACCCTTTTTTAGAACTGTACATAGATTTAACTAGTGCTTCTGCTTAAGGAAGCAAATACTGAAAGATGCTGAGTACCTGCAATTTTGACACAACTCATCAGATTAAACTTACACTGTTTACTCACACAAATTCTTTGTGTGCCAGATGCTGAAGGGTGCTAAACAGGCTGTTCAGTAGGAGTTCTCAGCAGTTGCTCAGCACCTCTGAAGAATTGGCATGTAAACTCCAACTAGGACTTTGCCTGTGCAAAAACAAATCGAGCCATCAGTCATGCAGGGTGTGCTTCCCTCCCTGCTTCATGAGTTGGCCTGGTGAAAATTCCTGGTGCTTACTGAAAGCATCATCGGATGTCACTTGACACCACAGGGGAAAACATAAATCAAAGCGTAAGTATTCAGCGCTCTCTCAGCATTGGGCTAATGTGATTAATCCAATCTGAGGTAAACACTTCAGTTATTCTTTATTAATGTTAGGGACCCAAATCCAGGGTTGGAACTTGTTATTCTATGCAATGTGAAAAACAAGCCCTAGCCATGAGATGTCCAAGACCAAGAGATAAAGCTCAGGAAGAAGCTTCACAATAGTTACCTAATAGCAATGGACAAATGCAATGAGTCGTTGTATCTCAAACATCTGAAAGGCATGTGGCAAGAGCTGCGCCATGCTCAGCAGAAAGCCTTTCTCTGACAGTGGAGTCGGGCTGCAGTAACAGGGAAAGGAGGGTGTTCTGGGGTGAGACTGCAAGGACCGACCTGTAGAGAGGTTGGATGTCCAGATCCTGTTGACACTGAGGGGACCTGCTTCCACTTCTACCTAAAAATTACTTCCAGTTCAAAAAGTTATTTTCCGTGAAAGCTGAAATCTTTTTCTCAGACAGTTCTGAGTTGTGTGGGCTGCTGTTGCAAGGGCAAAATTCATTTAATGATATGGACAATGCTGCTCCAGGCACCTTTCGACGGTCTCTTGCCTCACATGAGGGTAATGTACCTCAGTCACTGTATGACTCAGAGCACAAATATTAAAATGTCACAGGTGTGAAAACACAAGTCTAAGCCAAGGAATGGCTCTGTTGTGAGTTTTGTGCTTGCTTCACTCCCAGCTGGGTGTGATGGCAAATTATTGCTCTTGGAAAGGCACATCGAGGTATTGCAAACTGGCAGCCTGCTGAGTCCAGTGAGGTGCTGGGAGTAAGTGCTTCATCCAGCCAAACCCAATGGGAATATGCTGGAGCTTCAACATTGTTTTGCTGACACAGGAAGATGTCATCGCATCAGAATATGAAGGAGTTAACATGTTATGAAATATAGTTTTGGCAGTGATGTAGACAAAGATTGTTTTGTTTGAAATGCAGTACCAGCAGTGCTGATTGACAAGGTAATGCAGTCACCTTTCCAGTTTAAGTCTTTATACTGTACTTTATTTCTTCTAGCACTGCTAGGCCTAAATCCTATGAAACAAGCTGCTTAACTTTAAACTCATAAATAGTTCTTTCTTTCAAAGTTAAGCTTTGGTTATATTATGTTTCTGGATAATGGCGGGCTGGAACACCAAATGGAGGTGATAAAGGAAGCCTGTCCTGCACAGGGAGAGAAATGACAAGATACTAGCATCATTTAAGCAGAAAAGGAATAAAAATACAGGAAATGATTTTTTAAACCTCTTTCCAGTCATATTCCTTCAGGGAGAGGAGGAAAAAAACGGGGGAGGCTGTCCCATGCAGGGTTGCACTCGCTACTGAGGACTTGGTGCACAAAATTGTACAATCAGTTTCAAAATGAGTTCTAGCTAACCCAGGCATTCCAGCTGTCCTTCCAAAAATAAAAGGCAAAATTGTCAACATCACGGAGACTAATAAACCACCTATACTTCTGCATCCACTGAGATCAAGCAAGCACAGATTCCCTTACAACTTTGAAAATCTAGCCATTTATTCACTGCTGATATCTGATTTTTGTAATCTGGGTTGGAACATTTCAGTTGGAAGGTTTTGCATTCAGCACTTTTCAGGTCTAAGAGTCGGATCTTTTAAATCGAGGCTTGATTAGCTATGTGCTTTTTTGGCTGAAGATCTGACCCATGGGCCCAATTCCCTGCAATATTTTTGCATAAGCCTAGGAGACAATGCTTCCCACCAGTGTTGCTGAAAATGGACTTCCGTATTCATATAGATAGTTGTTTCTCCTGGATTTTTCACCGAATTTATGTTCTTAATGAAGTACATGGTAGAGCTAGCCAGCAAAAGGAGTATTATTTTGAAAAGTTTCACATCCATATGAGTCCTATATTTTGCAGCAAGTAGCGGAGGTGCCTTGCTTCAAAAATGTTAATGTAAAAATGTGGAAAGGTTAGTCCATATTTCAAACAGTAAGGCAGATTCTCAGCTAGTAGTTCACTGAAACTAATAAGGCTATTCCAGTCCAGAGCAACTGAGGCTCTGAGTCTGAAGAAGAAGCTATGAACTCTGTAAGCAGATATAAGGGAAGTGATAAGGAGCTACTTTCTTTCATACCTCCATGCTGTCTTGTCTGTTGGTGACAGAGCGCTCAAACAGGTAGTAACTGGAATGAAGCCCACTAGCCAATTTATACGTAACATATCATCACTTCTTGCTAATTCCTATAGTACACTTTAACATTCAATACTTACAAAAATTCTTAGAAAAATCATCCATCCCATGCTTTGGTTTCTCCTAAGCATCCCTGCTTCACTCTTTGTTCCTGGACATGTGTGTTAGCATCACTGCTTTGTTAACTTTCTGTTTTCAGACGGTGTTATACTGATTGAGATGTGTTAAGATTCAGAGGTTATTTTTCTGTCATTTTCTCTCTACTGTGTAATACCTTGACATCAAATAGTCCTCCTGCAATCGTATGGGAGTTCCCAAAGTAAGGTGAAACCCCACACAGAGAGGACTGGTAGTGTGGTCCCAAGGCTCTTGCAACTATTTTAATGTGAAGAATGTACAGTAGTGTATGTGTGTGTATAGGTGATTGTGGTTTTAATACTGAAGACACAAAGCATGCCTTAGCCACCAAAACAGACACTTTTGCTTTCTTTACGTTTAATGGCATTTCTGATAATATCACATAGCTAGTCTTTACTCTCCGCCAAGGGATCTGAAGACTCTGGGATTAGTAAAAATATTTCTCTATATTCTAATGGCATGTTAAATATTCAGCTAATTAAATAATAAGAATAATTCCTGTTAGTGATTAGCAGGTACAGTATATCAAGTTCAAATTCCTTTTTTACTGTAAGTGTAGGATACCTATTTTCTGCACCTGGGAGTAGAAGCAGAAGTTTATTTCTGCATTATTTGTTTTCTATTCTTGGGCTGAGTAACGCTGAAAGGAAATAAATATTAAAAGACTTTAAAGAAAAAAAAATCCAAGGCACATTTCATGACAGCTGAACAAGTATCATGTTGAGTGGCAGTACACTGACAATAAGTTTTGGCTTAGGACCACATCAATCTGGAGGCCCAGCTACATAAGCCAAACTGGCTCAGGATCACTTATAAACAGGCAGTTATCACCTTCGTTGCAATGATATCCCAGAGGCCCAAATCAGGACTAAGCCCTTTGCGCAGGGGCAGCACACACACGTAGAGTAATCCTTCTACTGATGTCGGTGGCAAAAATCCCACTGGCTTCTCCGGTGTTACTGGCCTGGCTGGCCTCCCCAAGTTTTCGTGTTCTCCACCTTTTCTCCCTTACCTGCTTCATTCTGTTTTTCTACGTGTTATGAAATCTTAAGGATTTTAATTCAATTCATGTTTTCCTCTTCCATGTGTCAACTTGTCCTTCTTTTGCAGACTGGTTCTGAACCATCCCCTCAAGGACGCATGGAGGAAACGCCTGTGAGCCACGAGAGGGGTGACGAGCCGGCTCGTCATGTCTTCTCCTTCTCCTGGTTGAACTCCCTGAACGAATGATGACTCACGCGGGCTGGCTTCTGGTGTGCTTCTCTGAGGGACCGCAAGCGCAGGCAGCCTGCCTGGAGTTGACAAAGAAACAGGCCTGGAAAGGGACATCCGAGCAGGTTTCGCTCCCAGGAACTTAGCTGACCTCCACATTGTGCCCTGGCCCTTGAAATGACGGAGTCCTGAAAAGGGCGGGAGCACGGGGACAAATTGCTGTACTACCGTAGTCAGAGTGTTTTCCAATAATTTCTTGTTTCCAAGGGGAAAATGGCATCACTACAGCTGTAGGATGAGTACTGCTAATGTTCACTATTTATTCACTTTTCAGCATGTCTTCGTGTAGGTGTAAATGCTTCATCCATGTTGTTAGTTAAAATGCTAATATGATATTCACTAGTAGTACCCTTTGGCAATACAGAGTGTTTCCCCTCAGTACCCTCCTGTGTCCAGCCCGGACAGCTTGTCAGTGTCAGTGACATCAGTGAAACTATCCCTCCTCAACACCGCCAAATCAGGGTTAAGCCTAAACACCTCCCCGCAGTCGCTTGTAGTCCCCACAGTACCGGGACATCCCATACTGCAGGAGCTGGACGCAGGAGGGGAAAGGGAAGCTGCCGTTTCTTCCCTTCTTCCTTTCTTCCTTCTGCATTTGCTTTTGCTGCTAAGTCACGTAGAAGACAATCACGTACACAGGTTTTGTTTGTAGGGAAGGTCCATAGCAGTAGGGATGAGGAAGATGTGCACGCTGAAAGCACTGGCCAACCCCCCACTCATGCATGGGGTGACACACAGCTCTGACTGTGTGGGGAAGCGGCTGGAGTGCTGCCCACATGTCTGTCCAGCTGTAACCTGCATCCACGTCTTCTCAGTCATCCATGAGATCAGCATACAGGAAAGGGGGCATGTCTTTGCATGAAACCAGGGTGCAGTGAGGTGGCCGCAGCTATTTGTTAAAGGTTTGGTCTGAAAGCGCCATGGTGCACTGTGGAAAAGGCTAACGCTGAATGTCCTGTTCCATGTGCACAGCAGATGCTGTGCATGGCTAATGTCTAATGAAACCAGATTTCTGTCTCAAAAGCAGAGAAGCTCTATAAGATGCTCTGAAGGTGAAACTGCAAGTTTTGTCACGAGGGACAAGGTTTCAGTGCTCCGTAGTGTTTAAGGGAGATTGGCAGGTCGCTGGGCATGCGCAGTGCCATAGAGGACCAGGTTTAAAGCTCTGATCTAGAGCTATATGTGGATCTTTCCAGGAACTCTAAGTCCTATCCTAAAGACATCATTTTGGCACGAGACCATCTGGCAGGGCGTAGGGCTGCGCTACACCCACTGCCCAAAGCAGGACCAGGTGAACCTGGCAGTGCAGGCACAACGCAGTATCTGGTTAGCAGACTACGAGGTGTGACCCAGCCATCCAGCCCCAGTCCTGACTGTGCCTCATTATAGGGACTAAGTCACATCAGCCAGTCATCACAGCCCTGATTTACATCTATTGCCCCTGGAAAACGTTCCTGCAAGAGAAGTTTTTGAGGACTGGGAAGGTGAGGTCTGTACAGAGCTTTGAAGTTAGTACAGCCCAGAGCTAGCAACTCTCTGCACCATCGTCACCACGTTGCTGTGAGAGTTTTTCCCATGGATTTAGTTTGGGGTGAGGGTTTGCGAGCGCAGGTCCCAGTCATCCTTGCAGATTTCCACCAGCACCTCCCACAAAGTTTCCCCATGTACAAATTAGTTTTCCTCCTAATGCCCCTAGGAGGGACCCAGCTTAGCAACTCTGCCACTGGGATGAGGGAGCTGAAGTGAGTTTGGGGTGTTCGCAGAAATAGGAGGACAAGCACTACTTAAAAAAAAAAAAAAGAAATCCAGTTGCATTTCACGAGTTTTTGCTGAACGTGCACTGGCGCGGCCCTGCCGGAGAAGCCTCCCCAGCCCTCGGGGGTGGCGGGAGCTGGCAGAGCCCCGCACCCACGCGGTACCGGCAGAGGGCCGGGGGGGCTGCCCGGGGCCCCGGCCCCCCGGAGCAGGCTGCGCCCGGGGCTGGGGGCTCTCCGCGGGCAGCGGCCGGCGCCGGCAGCCCCGCGGGGCGGGGCCCCCGGG